ATTTAAGAACCTTTGCTATTCCGTTGAACTTGCTTGTATTTGACAGACACAAAACATTTTATAACGACGGTATCATAAAAATAGTGCGATTTATGTAACATGAAACAGAATGCCAACCAGCGCAAATGCTAAAATTTTGATTTGCGATCGATTTTCTAGAATGCTCTGTGTAATGAACGATTTTAAAATGACAAATTAATCTCGTCGTAAAATTTAAATGTTGTCCGCAAAGGTCGATCACTGAACGTGCTGCAACAAAATTTGGGAACTGGAAACTGGTCTTGGGCCCCCGAGGTGGATGCACTCCTTGCTGCATTTTATATTGAATCGATAATTGTACGTCTGACTGCACTAATGCAAGAATTTGCTGAATCATCTCCCAATAATGGTTCAATGTAAGTAATCATCATTCCGATCTTATTTTTTTTACCTTCTTAATTTTATACTCGGGGTCTGAAATAACGGTAGCGGGTACCTATGCATCCTTGAACTGGATTTCACCACTGTCAGACGTAATAAATTGGAAATACGAAAGAATTTGATTAAACCGAAGAGAATTGAAATAGTTGAAACAAAATTGAAAGGAAATGAGAGCGATTTTGGCAAACACGAGGAGGGCGGTATTTGCGCGAAAATTGTATTTGAATCACTGACTGGAAGCGATGATATTTTTGTTGAAGCATGTGAATCATGTACAAAGCCATTGTTTGATTCCGTGCCGCTTTTAAACAAACGATAAATGAAGTGATAAGGCGAACATACCACTCCGCTGATAACGAGGAAAGCTATACCTAAACTTCAAAGAAAGCAACTATGAATTACTGCCCAATACTTGGCGTTGAATTGGGAAACGGAGTACGCCCCCCAATTTCGATTATTTATTGCAAAGGCGAGAAAAGGAATAAATATGTGTGCAACCCGTCATTAACTAAGAACGATAATATTTTTGTGCATGTAGGGAGGATACGTAATTTGTTAAAATGTCCGGCGTCATCGTATATCATATATGGCCATAATTAACTCAAAGACTAATTAATATATACGAGCCAGCCATGTGTGAGCAGCTGACTGATGAGGAATGGACAATAAAACGAGTCATACGCACAGTCAACTGCACTTTACGTTTATTTGAAAACAGCTGGTTTGCATTTGGTAGCCACTTATAGGCACCAGCGGCTTCGTTTGTGAAGAAGTTTTAGCTCTTAATAATTTCTGAAGAAAACCAGTAGCTTTCGCTTTTCAACGACAAAAACAGACGTCTTGAGCTGCGTCATATTTTCGGTTATAAGTACCAGTACGTTTGTGACAAGTACACCGTATTTCTCCGACCGAATTACACTTTTTATATGTTACTAAATATACATGGTCCTTTATGCTGAAGGTTTGGTAATTAGTAATTCGAGTCGATTTTCTTAGCCAAGATTGTGATCCTTCAGAGTATTGTTGAAGTTCGAATCTGTAATATCCCGTCGTTTTGGGAAATTCAACAAACTATGATTCCCTGGAAAGTAGAATACTACAATATATGACCGTAAATACAGGGTGCCCATTAGGTATGGAATATAGTATATACATATCTTGTTACATATTTATTTCAAATGATCGATCGATTTTATACGATCCTTAACGATTATGTTCGCTTTTATGCATTTTCGGTAACGTAGATTATTACTACGAAAATATTCGAAAAAGCTGGCCGTTAAATTTTTCTTCGCTAGAATAGTTGATCTTTAAAATAGACGCATTATTGATATTGGTGTCTCTCCGAAGTTGTTGGAGGATTTGAGTTAACTATTCTACATAATTACAATTTGTATATCCAAATTTTGGGAGTTAAGCGTGGAATCTTAGAGGGTCAATAAAGAACCACGGACGTTTATTAACCCTTTGAATTAAAGGTATGTGTTTTTTTAAATTAGTTTTCAAATTTTGAGTTTAAATTTTTTAGGGTTTTTTTTTATTGTATACTTTGAAATTTAATTTAATTCATCTTGGATGAATGGTTTATGGGCCATTTAATTTCGTCTATCATCGAGAATTCAACAAGCAGAGCAAAATCGTTGCGATCAATTAATCACGTACATCTGTTTATGGGAATGCAGTCCGCTTATCAATAAGTAACACGGCCGCTCGCACAATAGCTGTTGCAGATAAGAATTTGGGGAAATTTGCTAATCTACATCAAGGCGTTCAAGGCTCCATCTTGTACAGTGTAAAAACACGTATGTAATCTATTCTTTTCATACGATTTTCCAACACATTTTGATCAGCGTGTTTACTAAGAACGTTAATTGATGTTTTGATTGCGCTGATAAAATAAAAAATTGCTCTGATCTCCTTTTTGGGAGTCAATCCTGGAAATTTAATTAAATGGTTACAATTATCAAAACCAGATTGTGTAAAATTAAGGTGTGTTGTCGATATTTTATTTTGTATCAATGTTAAGTGGCCTTTTCGCCCTCTTTTGAGAGGTTTATTTTACTGCCCTGGAGCTAGCCAGGTCAATTTTTCTTGCTGTACTGAATTATAGAAAAAAAATCTTAGTAAATATGGACTGTATACAAAATTGTTATATCTGAAAGTTGTTTAACATTTTATTTCCCATAGCATTCCATTGTTTTTATTTCAGAAAATAAATGAAAAACGAAAAACAATTGATTTTTTTTAAATAGCAATGCACACTTTCATTTGATAGAGATTTTTTTTCTCTTTTCAATGACGTAACACGTTAGCACCCGCGTACAAGAAATTGTTTCAAGCTTTTTGTGATAGGTTATGCCCATTTTACTGCTAATTTCGTTTTGTCTTCAAGGTTTAATAAGAAACGTACACGTTCATTTGTTTTATTTTGATGTAGGATATCTGGATTAATGTTATTGATCTAATTATAATAAATTTTATTTTAATTTTCTTGGATAAAGGTACTAACACTCGAAAAGAGAAAAAAATGAGCCTAATGAAAAGGTGCACTGCCATTAAAAAAAAATTCAATTGTTTTTTATTACCCATTTGTTTTCTCAAATAAAAACAACTAAATGTTGCCTTATTGTGGAAAATAAAATGTTAAACAACTTTCATATAGAAAAATGTTGTATAGATTTGATATTTACCGAGATATATACTATATTCCATACATAATGGGCACCCTGTATACAGTACCATTGTTTAAATTATAAACAGGATTCAGATTTAATCACCGGGGAAATATTAGTCACCGGACTCTCCCGTGGACCACCTCTGAGGGTCTCAAACCCACCTTTGATCCGCGGAGCACTGGTTGGGAACCATTGATTTCGAGACATGATATAGTAGCCTGTAATCCTTCATCATGTCATATTTGGCACGCTCAGGCTTAGGTAGACAGGTAGTACAGAGGGGGATGGGAGCTCTTTTCGTCACGAACTTTCATCACAAGAGCATTTTTATTCTCGACTCCACCACAACGGTGTGTGATGTAACAGACTAATAGCTTTAGAATGAGTAATGCAGGAATAAGTTGTGTTACAGGTCCATTTTTAGTTTAGTTTTGTTTTATTTATTTTGATTTTTAGGTTAGGAATTTGTTTATTTTGTTTTGAATTTCATCACATAGGCGTGCCCATTTTCTTAAATTTCTTCTTTTGATTTCTTCGCTTCTTTCGATTCTTGCCCTCTTCTTACAATTGTATTTACCTTTTCACGCTTTAAACACTTCTTATTTCCTTACTGTTTTCACTATTCTAATTTTCGAAGCTTATGTGTACTATTTTATTCCATGTTACGCCTCTGATTCGTTTCAGAGCCATCTGTTGGTATTTCGTCTAAACTACGCTATTCTTTCCCGCTCTTTTCAAAAATCTATTCTTCTTTTCCCGCTAACTTTTTATGTTTCTTAATTATTGGTATTACTGTTCGTTTTTTTCAAAATCTTCTACGTTTCGTTTTCCGTTTTCGATAATTGTCATTTTTCTTTAGTGTGCTTGTGAGGTGCGAAATTTTTAGAGCCGCATTAATCCAACAATTTTTGGGATTTTACCCTCTTGAAAGTCACCCTACTCAACAAAAAGGATTTAGTATCCGTCCTTTTAAACCCTATTTTGGGGATCAAGAGTAGAGGAGAGACGCACTTGTGTTTCCGAGTACAACCAATATAAATATTTTAACTCTTGCTCGCCGGATTTCAACCCCTTTTGGTCCGAGCGTTAATTTACTACCACCTATATTATAGCACCCAAAATATTATATTGTTTCTACCTTTAAGGCCCACACCATCTCGGCCTTGTATTTTTCCCCTTCTTATTTATTCTACCTGTACCGTACTGCTTCAAACTCTTCGTCGTTCGTCGTCCGTCTTCAGTCTTCAGTCGTCCACCTTCAGTCTTCGTCGTCCACCTTCAGTCTTCGTCGTCCGCCTTCAGTCTTCGTCGTCCGTCTTCAGTCTTCTATCGATACCCTCAAATTTCTTTCCATTTGATCCCTTCTACCCTCTTCCCTATCCTTATTTTCTCCACACTTAGCCACTGGTCTACTCACCGAGTCTGCCGAACAACCGCTGGACAACTTCAGGAGCCAGGAAAACAGCTAAGCACCTTCCAATTCACCGTTATTCATTTATGATGGCCCGTTAAGTTTAATTTAAAAAAAAAACCATTAATTCAGTCATCTTACCATCCGTTTAATTAATTATTTTAGTCAAGTTTGTGTCTTACTGTGAGACGAGATCTCGTTCCGTGATTTTTTTTATACCATACCACCGAGAACAGCTGGAGCCGTAATGCTAGATTCTTCCCTTCCTTCTAAATTTTCTTCGTCACAGTTGATAGTACGAATCTATTGCCGAAGTCCCTACACTGCAATGAACTACAACGGTCCGTTGTCGAGGTTACAGGGCGATATATAAAAGGCGACCTTTGAATGATACTGAAATGACCTTCAGTTTTCACATTAAGCGATGCAGGAATAATATATAATATAATAAATACTTAAATAAATAATCCTCGTGATTTTAAGAGATTGAAATGGCGTGTTTATCTCTTTATTTTGCAACTGTTTACTACGCTAATATGAAGTAGATAAAAGTGGAAATCACGGTACCACGACAGCAGAACTAGTAGCGTCGAGCATCATGAAGTTTTTACTGATCGTGAGTTAGATCTTTTTTTTAACAAATGACTATTTTTTCTCTAGGTGATCATTTGTGCTAAGTACTCCAGCGAAATGTAAGTATCTCTATCACACCAAATGGGTTTCATGGGTATAAACTATTCCATCAGGACTACCGTTTGGCCAATTACGACAAGTACGGGACCTTGTCCGGGACAAGATTGTTCGGGCGGAATATGGGTTGATATGGGTGACCCGTGCTGGTCATGTGTAATCTATGACACTTGTCACTCGCTCGGATGTGATGATCCGCAATCTTTCTGCTTTCTTTATAATGAAAGCTTTCCGATGGATCAATATGCAGTCCAGGGGGAATGTGAGCTTAGATGGGGTTGTGTTATAGAGGATAACTTGCGTTTTTTAGGTCGAACGAATCCCTGTGCGGAAACACCTTTGTTAGACGAGGGAGGGCAGTTAACCGCTGTTTGCGATGGTACCCGTAATTGTCCAACTGGCTACAACTGTGTTGAGTCCGTATGTTGCAAGTCACTTTAGACGTCTACTGCTACTACTACTAGAGCTTCATGGGAAATTTCTAAAAATCGTTATTTACTTTGAAATAAAGTTTAATCTCCCTTTACTATAGTTTTTGGAGACCTCCTAGTGCATGTTTTCTAACAAGAACTTCGTGTTATACCACTGCGCTGCTCTTCACGTATCCATAATTATTGCGACAGGGTTATGGCATTGTTACTACGAATTACGATCATGAATGTTTAATTAATTCACTAAAACTTCACAATCTAAGCCCCCCGCCCCTCCGGAAGAATCTGAAAAGAAATTGGTCGTACCGGAGCAGTCAACTAGGTTCGAGAAGACTTTACAATCAATAAACACTTTTAAATTAGAACTTAGCATGCAGAATCGCGAACCTTTAAATGTATTAAAGAGCATCCAAGTATAGTTCAAGGCCCTAGAGGCGTTTATCTGCGTATACTCCGTCCAATGAACATACCTACACAAAAAGATGATTTCAAGACGTTTACCACAGTGAGAATATTTTATTATGAGTTTATTGTCGAAATTTTTAAAAAGTTGAAAGTTTTAGTTACAATTTCGGCACTTTAGACGATTTAAATATATGTATCCCGCGACTTATTTAATTCGCCACGCAGTTGTTTCGTTAATGCGTAATGAGGAATTTTTTTCCAGCCAGTACATTTATTTTCGCCTACCAAACAAGGCTTTATTGACGTTAATAAAAAGGCCGAAAGATTTAATAGGACAACTTATCTTTTCTTAAGCTGCCTTTGTTTTTTGTTCGAAAAATATAGTTCAACAGCACACCCAAAATTTTTAATTAACTTCCCCCTTTTTTTAAAATGAAGTACTTGCGATCTCTTCTTTATGGCTGAGCTTGATCAACTTCATGTATCTATTAATTCAACTCTGAACGATCCCCTCTTTTAATTACCGAGTAAATTGTTCACCCCCGCAATTAACTTAAAACTGGCGATTTCTAAATTTTGTATTTCCTAGTACGTTCCTTGCACCACCGATCCCAACCGCATGTTAAAAAAACATATATCCCTATTAAACGGATGTAATTTGATTTAACACCCTGACCATGTAAAAAACAATGACGCATTTTACGTATTACTTACTGCGGGAAATTCAAAAAATCACATTCAAAATAACCGCTACCTACTTTTCCATTTGCAAATCCAATATTGGCAAGTGCGTATTTTTAGCGGATAAAAAGTACTGCTATCACCTGAATAAATTCCGTCCGTCCGTTCGAAGTTTTGTGTGCATCTATCAATTGTTTCTATTGCCCATAATTTGAACAGTTCGAAAACGAAGATAAATAATGTAGCACAAAGTTATTCATATTTACAGAAAAATAGTATAATAGTATATTATTCAACGAGTGAGAAAGACGAGTTGCTCGACCCGTGGTGTAATTTATCTGAGTTTATTAGTGCTAATTGATAGGGATTGGGATCAAGGGTGTGAAATCCATGTTTTCGTGGACATACCAGTCCTGTAAGCATGTTGGAATGGATGTACTAGTACCCTATTCTTTATGTATGCATCCACCAGCTCCTCCACCATTTTTAAAAGAAACGATGATAAGGTGATGTGGCCTGTAATCTTTCACAGTGTCATATTTGGCACGCCCAGACTTATGTACGTACACCACTCCTTACCTTTCTCCAGCTTTCTTCTTCCTAAAGCCAGGGAGGCTCTAAAGTGCAACAAAAGTTCAACGGTCGGTCCTGCACTCTTAACTGGGCTGAACCTGTTGACCGCCCATCTCACAGATCCCTCGCACCGACTCGGGTAGCTCCTTTTGGTGGGTCCGAAGTTACGTAATCCCCAGGGCCTGGAAAGTGTCTTACACAGAGGGAAGACCATCCATGTTACCACAGAAAGTCCTTCATGATCCTCGTTTAGACCTTCGAATATGGTCCTTATACCTGCGCTGAGCGATTTTAAGATATTCACAATCCGCAGGTAGCTTAGTTCGCATGGCCCTATTAAAGGGCCTGAGAACCTCCTTACGAACCTTTTTGAGATCGGAATTCCACCAAGGTGTTCTCTTCGTTCCTCGAAAGGGACGCAGTTTACAGCTGTCCTTAGATGACGCTGTTACGGCCTCTCTTAGTAATGCGGCCGCCTCTTCGATTTTTCCTGCTTTGCGACAGTTAAAGGTGGCCCATCCAACCGCTCTGACAGCTTTGCCAACGTTTCTTCCTAGAAGGCTAGCTTTGGTACATACTTACATAGTACCTTTGATTCACAACATCGTAAACGTCTGCTCTGAAAAGGGCTTTTTACACGCTTACAGAGAGGCAGTACGTATCAAAAGCTCTATCATTGTACGAGGAGAATCCACTCACCCCCAATTGAAAAAGGATCAGCCTGAATCAGACAATTTTGAACCACCCACGAACAAAAAATGAACAATTCTAACTTAGGCTTAAAAATTTCAATAATAATATACTTAGATAATTTGTTTAAGTAATAAATAACAGTACAAATTCAATATTAATAGTTTAAAGATAAATTTCTCGTGGATGTACATGGTTTTTCGTTTCAAACTACCCTTAAATTGGAGACCTAAGGAGACCTAGGAGAACTAAGCAGAGCAAATTTGTGGGGCATTCAGTTTTTTTACAAAATTTTCCCGCAAAATGAGTATTTTCTTCGATATCGAGGTCGAAAATTGACCAAATCCTCCAACATTCACTTCTTTGGAAAAATGTCTCAATTTTTGGAGGGCTGTATTTCGGTAAGTTACCTACAGAACGGGTTCTGGTCTGAAATTGTAGCAATTTTAGTCTACTTTAAAAACACATCGAACACGTTTTTTAACAAGACATGGTTTAGAACTTATATTGAAAAAAAAGAAGTACGATAATTCCGCGATTTGTCGAGTACTGAAAAGTTAGCACTGAAACGAGGACAGCGGAATATTTGGTGCACCATATTGCTATAAGGGTGGTCAAATTGTCCCGTCACAACAAATTCACACCTTCTCCGACAGTAAGACATGCGATTTTTTTCAATTTGAGAGGGGCGTAAGAAAGTTATCTCCCACCAGCAATAAAATTAGGGTCTTGAAATTCAAATTAGCATTTCAAACCGCATTATAGGCACGTCCAAATAAAGCAAGGCAAATTTGACTGACCCACTTCCGGTCATTACGCCGGAAGTAGGTGGTACCCTTGTCTTTCAGGATTTGAAATAATATTTTTGGAACACTTAAACTGATCCAATTAATAACGGAACTTCAAAATACTGAGTATACGAAATAAATTGTACAAAAATAGAGAAATCTTCGTAAAAGACATTTACGGCTATAAAAAGTAGGAAATTAACTTCGGTCAATGACTTTAAATGTTTCAACATCTGTGCTTCGGACAAAAAATATCAACGACTGCACCTTCAAAAAATAACCTAATCATAAAAAGGCTTTATATTGTCGCGTAATGGTATTCCATTAAGAAAATTCGAGGGAATATTTTTAGGTTCCCAGTTTATAAATAACAAACAATCAAAGATTGTGAAAAACAGGGAATGTTAATAAACCTACAATGCAAAACAACTGTGTGTAAGTGAACGGTTCATTAAACTGAATGTTTGTGTCTTGAAAGTTGAAAAACACGAGCTAACTTTTTTTTTGTATATACTCTTGCTGGGCCAAACAACTTCGCTGTTCCATTGACCGAAGTGCATCGCAATTTATTCGGTCAACTCGATCAGTTCAAGGTTAAAAACAAGTACTTTTTGAAGAAACTTTTCTTTTTTAACGCGAGTAATGGGTACAAAAGGAAAGATGATTGATGAATACGAATCTTTAACAGTAATCTCCTTCGGATCTGTATCTGATAAATAACTATATCGTGATTCACGATTTGTTGACTTCGACTTAATTTGAGAAAATGAGGGCATAAATATTGCACGCCGTTAATGTCTTTTAGACAACTATAAACAAACATTTTGATTGATCTTAAATAACAAGATCGTCACTCGACCAATTTACGTAAATTTTGTGTGTGAATTAACGGATTTTAAAGGCAGCGCCAGTAATTCTCAAGCGAGGCAACTAAAATTACCGCTAAATTAGAGACAGTTTTGGTTAGCCAAAAAACGTTTTACTTTCCGTTATTTGCGGTAAGGTTTACAAATTGTTGTTGTATAAAGATAAAACGTGATTCTAAACCTAATCGAGTGTTTTCACTTATTTCTACTAAACAAATAGTAGATGAGAAAGAAAAATTGATTATAGAACCGAGGAACTTTCTGTATGCATGGGGTCTATTTCCACAGAATCCACAAATCATACAATCATCAACTTAAAACATGATGTAAAAGGGTCAAGAGAATTAATACTTTTCTAAAAAATAATGAAAAATAAAGAAAATTTCTGTGCTCCAAATTTTCCTAGAATATTTTTAGAATCTTCTGAAAAAGTGTTTTTAAAATATTTTTAAAATCCCTTTAGAAACATTAGAACCATTAAAATGCCTTAGAATATTTTTAGGATTTTCTTAGAATTTCTACAGTCTACAGATTTCGTTTACAAGGATCACAATCCATTCTGCAAGTGCACATAAAGGTAATACCTCCTTCGTGATTTAAAATATACAAATCCTTGAAGAAAATTTTGTCTGTCACATTGAACATATCTTCAAAACAACATTTTTTAAAAGAAGCTTTTTATGGTATCCAAAATAAAGTTTGCTACCAATTCTACGTATTACGCATGTGCTCAGTGGCGTACTTTTGCATGGTCAAGGGGGGCACATTTTCTTAATGTCCACTACTAGTTTACATTACATATTATTAAATCCTTTTTGGATATAGCAGCAATAAAAGGTCATTATATTATATACCTAATAAAATTTAAGAAACAAACCCAGATTAAGGAATATAGTTAAAATTTTAAAAATGTACTACACCTTTTCCACTTTTATTCGAGAAACTATCAAGTTAATTTGAGAAAGTATCAATTGTATTTGAGAATAGTAAAATGTATTTGAGAAAACAACAAATGTAGTTCAGAATAGTGATTTGTATTTGAGAAGGCATCAAATGAATTTGAGCGTAGTAAATTGTATTCAAGAAATGGTA